CGTTTCCCCACTCACGCGGCTCCATTCCCTTCAGCGCGTACCGGCGCTCGATGCGCAGCAGAAAGGCCTGCACTGTGCTGCCGTATTCTGGTAGGATGGGAGTCCTTTCGCCGGGTTCCACGGTCCCCCCCATAACGGTTCTTAGCGCACTCATAGCCGACTGGAATTGTTCCCACGAGACGAAGGGACAGTCTCCTTGTACAGCATTGGGCAGAGGTATCGCCTGTGGGTGCGCCTCCTTATGCCCATGCGGCCGCTCTGCCACGGTGGGCTTTGGAGTCGCGTGGCGATGATGGGCGGGTGTCCCGCTGGGCATTCTGTTGACTGACATAGATGGAGTCTCCTGCGGAGTGGGGCCGATGACGCGTCCGTTGCGGAGGTGCATCCCTTACCGAGCAAAGATTTCTAGTAGACAGTCATTCAGACGTCGTATTTCATTTTCCAGGGTCGAAGAAACAAATATTTCAGAAAAATTTCCCGGAACGGGCCCCAAATGTAGTGCACTGCGCCCGCAGCTGCGACTACGTGCTTTCTGTCCCTAGGGCAGGGCCTATAGACTGCACCCTACGCAAGTCCATTTCCTAGGAACTATAGCTATTGCAATTATGAATACAAATTCACGAGTTTCTCAAATCTGTCTGTCTGTTTCGCTCCCTCCTGGGAGCTCGCCTCCTAGTCCCTAAGGGAGGGAGGCTCGCCCTGGCGCCGGCGCTGTCTCCAGCCCCAGTCTCCACGCATTTCCACGAATTCACGTGTGCATATAAAATAATAATCGATTTCTCTTACTTTTTGTCTGGTAAGAGGGCCCTGTCCCCCTCCAGTCTTGCAACCCCTCGTAGGTCGCTGGCTAGCTATCCTCTCTAGAGCACTAACCAGCCCCATTGTAGTGTCTGTGCACTACACTAGCAAGCCCCATTGTAGTGCCTGCGCATTACACTTTCCGTTTGCCAAACGGTGTTCATAAATTGGTACTCTTCTTTGAGCCGTGGCGAAGTGCGCCTCGTCACTAACGAGCCAGGCCAAAGACTCAGCTCGTGCACGCGCATCCAGGATGCTACGTTGTGTTCTACGCATCACACTGTGTTCTGTATGTGTGTGCAAAGCTGTTGACGCGCAGACCTTGGCGTGGAATAACCGAACGTGTCACTATGTAGCGTATATAACCAGCTTTAGCCCTAAGTTTGCTTCCACACTTTAACACGAGCAAGATTTTTGCTTGCATTGTTCCTGCTGCGAGCTGTTGACGGCACTTGTGTAGTAACGAAAACATCGCATGGTTGCAGCGTGCCACCGTGTAACGACTAAGTGGGGTCCTATGAGCAAGTGTGTAACGACTAAGTGGGATCCTATGAACAAGTGTCAACAAACTTGGCAGAATGAAGTAGCTTAAACTGAGTAATCCAGTTGCTTTGTGTCTTTCTTCAGTAGGACTGTAGTCTGTTTGTAGCACATGACCTAGCTGCGTGCACAGTGGCTGCAGTTCAAAAAAATAGGCCTTACCGCTGACCCTACAAGATCTTGGGTCCATCACAGCTCGGTTTCTGTCACAGTTATGCGCTTAATTTGCTCTTTCGTTCTTTTTGAAACAAAACATTTTTTTTGAAATAAAATTTTAGCCTAATTTTACTGCCCAGCAGACATTAAACTCGATGCTGAAGCTGAAAGCCTAAATTGTCGCATTCTCCATTTGCTCGCAATCTAGACTCATGCAGGCCTTCCCCTCAACAGTGAGCAATAGAATTACTCCAAACACCTGTGCCACACATGCCGACTTGTTGAGTACCCAAAAGAATAACTGCAAAGAACATGCCACATAAGAGCAGCATTCGAGGGAAGGGACAACGTATGGGACCGAAACAAAACCAAAGACCCTTCTAGCAAGCGGGAACGAGCCGACAAATTTTCAGAAAGGCATGCAGGAAACTCGCAAGAATGGGGCAGCCTGTGGTGGACCGTTAAACATCCTGCATGCCCTTAGCGGAGCCACGCTAAAGTGACGGTCTGTTCAACATCCCGCAGACCTTCAGCGGAACCAGTCCAAACCGCAGACTGCTCATCAAGGAAATGCAACTGGGCATTTTGCGAAGCGGCCTAAAGTGTTGATGGGAAGTAACGCATTGACTGCCGAAGAAATATTAAGGGTAGCAGCACCTTTGATAAGACGCAGTATAGCTTGAAGGCCTATTAGGCGTCAAAGTGAAGGTTGAGGGGAAAACCGTCAGTATTGAAAACTAGGGCGTATCGCACTTCGAGGCAGCATGCTTTTTCTCTTAAATTCCGTGGTATATATTGTTTATGTGCTAGTGCTTATGATCACGAGGTTTTGAGGGATCTCGTTGTTCCTGCAGCAGTTGCGATTGCTGTATGTCGCGCACTGCGCAGCTTCGACGGCCGACTATTTAGTGTGCGGTGGTAATGTAGTGTGTACAAATCGTAGTTGCTTCAGCAGTAAGAAGACTTTCATTTGGGAGAGAGGGAAGCCCTAACGAGGTCTTCGAGCCGAAGTGGTGTCTGTTGTAACTCCTGACCGCACTTCTGTGCAAAGAATTTCTCACGCGCTACAGGCAGGATGCCAGTGCCAAATTCAGCGCAAGCAGTACATCAACAAGGTTGTATCCACTCCCAAAACTCGTTTCGTCATACACGGCATGGGGAGCCTGTGTGCCTTAGCGCTTAATCGGACGTATTTCGCGTACCGTAATCACCTTCAAGCTCATCTGTTGTAGTGCACTGCGCCCGCAGCTGCGACTACGTGCTCACAGTCCCTAGGGCAGGGTCTATAAACTGCTCCCTACGCTAGTCCATTTCTTAGTAACTCCAGCTATAGCGATTAAGAATACAAATCACGAGTTTATCAAATCTGTCTGTCTTTCGCACCCTCCTGGGAGCTCGCCTCCTAGTCCCTAAGGGAGGGAGGCTTGCCCTGGCGCCGGCGCTGTCTCCAGCCCCAGTCTCCACGCAATTCCACGAATTCACGTGTGCATATAAAATATAACCGATTTCTCTTACTTTTTGTCTAGTAAGAGGGCCTTGTCCCCCTCCAGTCTTGCGACCCCTCGTAGGTCGCTGGCTAGCTATCCTCTCTAGAGCACTAACCAGCCCCATTGTAGTGTCTGTGCGCTACATCTGTAACGCGCAGCACTGTTAGGCCGTGTAGGATACGTCTCGCCGAGATAGGATGTCTTGAATATTGAAGGCAGCACAATTGTGAACTGGAGTGACTCTAGGCTTTCTTTAGGAAGATATGCTTGGGACTTTCTTCGGTTCCTCCCACAGTGCATCCACTACTCCAGCACATACACAGCTACGCGGAGGAAGGTAGATGCAGCTGGTCTTATACTTTTGCAGAACTTGCTGTTTAGCATGGTTTGGGACTGGAAATGATTCCAAAGTAGCTTTGAATCGCGCCGAGCTGCTGTATAGTTCAGCTTTTAAGAGATTAGGGCTTTGGGCTAGCGCCTAGGCTCTAGCCACCACGGATCTCTTGTCCGATCAGTGTAGAGCGCATAGTCAGACAGATCCCCCGGGTACCGCCAATGCAAAATTAGGAAACAAAATGTGCTTTTGAGCAACCTGGAGCTCTGTGAGGACCAAATAAAACATTCTTGTTTCAACTGTGCAGGCGAGCCTTGCTGGTGGGTTCGGAACGCCTGCAGGCTCCCAGAGCCTAGTCTTCTGTGTACTTCAAGTAATATCTTGTGTAGGTACTATTCCCCTACAAGTTAAGTTGACGCTATTCTCATGTCTGTGACACCGTGCGCTAGATCAGCCCTTTTTATGTGACCTCGGCCCAGCTGAGGCCCTTCGATAGTCCTTGCTGGCTACACAGGTGCACACATGCCTCTGAACGGTAAAGACACCGAATAAAGTCTTTATAGAGCACTGCTCTTGATGGCGTTTTCCCTGGTTTCTCCAGGGTGTCGTCCTTTCTGCCTGTGTGTCCCTGCCACTGCTGACAGCACCTGTGACACTGCCAGCCCCAAACCGTGGCTAGCTGCAAAGTACCTTAAGCCTAATTTGTTGCAAAAAGGCAGTTTCTCTTGCTAAGACGATTCAGTTCACGCTTCCCTCTCATATACCTGAAAACTGCAGCTTCTGACGGCTGTTCCCTTGCAACATCGTAGTGCTGTGCACTGTACTTTGTCACCAACATTTGCCACGCTTTGTCACGTTTATGTGGTGTCTAGCAGCTTTCGATACGTTGGAAAACGTCCCCAGCTATCAGCTAGCTTAAAGATGTCTTTAATAAAGGCTAAGCACTGGTTGAGGCTTGGAGGCTACAACCCTCCCTTCACTGGAAGCCCCACACTACGGGCACTGCTCGGCTTGCGCAGCTCCTGTGGGGTTTCTACCTTTATAATCGCCATGGTAGCACATATGAATCGCATCACATTGCAAATACGGAGCTTTTCAAACTGATAGTCTAAACCAGCAGAGCAGACCGGCTATGCTCGCAATCTGCAGTCGTCCCTCAGCTGCTAAAAAAGTGTAGCATGAAGAGGACTGGCATATGATTTCAACACTGTATGAAGCTGCCTTGAAACTAGAATCAAAAGTGAAATCGTGGGTATAAATACATATGCCGGAAAATATAAGGTAAACTTGTGAAATTTTGGGGCATAATTGATGGCTACAGCACTCTGTGGGTCAGTTCCCAGGGACTAAGCAGCTACTGGATATATCCCCAGTATTTGCTAGATGCTCGAAAACGTGTTTTCCTCAAGACCCAAAAATTTCTTTGCTAAGGTGTTGGCTTCGATTTGGACAATGAATGAGCCGAAGGAAAGGCACGAGGCAGTGGAGCTGGTTCATGCTCCCACATCCGCGCAACGGAGCCCCGTGCTGGTTGCTCGTCGCATCTTGTGGGAATCAGTTCCCCTTTACAGTTGCACTTGCCTGATACTTATCTGGTATAAATATATACAATGCTCTTCTGGGCTAGTGCTTCTGAAATCAATTTGTAGGTTTTAAGCGATGACGACAGAAGCCAGTCTCCACGAGTCTCATCCAGGAGGTGTCTCTTTTCAAAGTATTAGAAAAACAGAGGACGATCTCCACACTAGCCCTACATCTGAAGTGACCACATTAGCCCGCTCTCGTATATACCGACTGCAGCCCCGTTATTCGGCGTGGCGTAGCTCCATTTTACTACCTGCATTGGCATCTGTTGCAGCAATCGTTCTGCTTGTAGCCGTCTGCTCCAAAGCTCAGACTGTGGCGTTGGGGATACGTTTTGTGCATCGTCGGCTCTCAGAAGATGACATCACCAAAGCTGGTCTCAACTTGACATGTGAGCACGGTTTGGATGGACAAGCGACTGGCTCGCCTTCCTCGGACCAGCCACGTGCATCACACGGAAATCCACCGATAGAGCCTCCCCCAGCAAAACGTACTCGAAGAGATGCTGATGAAGCCCCTCAGGAAGGTCCGCACGCCGCACAAGACGGAGGGCACCTAAGTGTTCAGACTCGTCCGATGGAGTCTGCAGATGCACTGCCGCCGTCAGCGGAAGGCCCAGGCTCAAGAGAGAAGCAAGCTTCGAGTGAGCGAGAAGCAGCTGAAGCGTTGCTGCTACTATGGCCTCGCACTACCTCGACTGCTGTTGCTTTTGGAGGGACGGAAAGTCAGGCGCCACCACAGCGGTCTATACCTGCTCCTTCATTTGACGATAAATCAGCGTGGCTAGAGTCTGTGTTAGATGCACAAAATGCAGAAGTAGCTGCTCCGCCTGTAGCTTATTACGTGGAAGTCTCATCGGAAAGCGAAAGAATCTCGCCGCATCATCCCTTTTGCAATCTGCCGCGAGTGAGCCGTGCTGGGCTCAGAAGCCGTGCCAATTTCGAGGCTGCTATGGAAAATCACACCGGAGGCACTTCGTCAATGCACTTAGTGCATGAGGCTCACGCACTGCTCACGAAGGTCATCCTCTCCCCAATGGAATTAGACCACTTGATTCATCTGACCGAACGGCTCGTGGCTAACACCATCGTATATCAATGCCACCCGATTCCCTGGAGGGGTCCGGCAAAAATCGTTAAGCAGCTAGGCATTCGCTTTTTGATATTTGAGACGGTTATCTCAACACTAATGATTCTGGGGCAGAAACCTGAAGGTGACTGGTGGAACAAATTGACATCTCCAGTCCACGATCGCGCCTACAACTTACCAGTTGCTCCAACAAGGCGGCACGAGACGTTCAATGTTAGTCTCATCAAGGATCTGGCCAGTGCTTTAACTACTTTGAAGTCGGGAAAGCTGCCTGATAACCAAGAGCGTGTTGACCTTAAACGGCGTTTACTTTGCTCTCCATACTCCCACCCATTTTTTAAGAGCGCTTTATTTGATGTATGGAGAGCAGAAGACGAGAATTTTTTTGGAGAATTCGCAGGGTGATCTGAAGGTAGATGGTAGACGAGTAGTCCAACTTGGCCACCGACAGCAGAACTGCTTATTTGGAAGAAATTCTCTAGAAGAGAATGGAATACCTCCTTTGTCACAGCCGCACCTTCGAATGAGCCCAAGCTCGGTCACGCCTGGTACAAAGTGTATTACGCGCCCTGGCATATAAGCACTCTGCGAGTAGTTCTGTAGAAGTGCATAGTTGTCGCTGACGCAGCTTTAGACTAGCTGCGTAAAGCCAGCGAGGCGATGCTGTTACTCTTTACTCAGTATGCGCCCTTTACAGCCTTCCAATGACAAGCGGTGGATATCCGACGACGGGCTCAGAAACTCCGTGAGTAGCACAGTTTCCTCGTCAGATCCACCTCACAGAGTTCATGGGGTTAGATCATGCTGGATTTGTCCTTTGGCTGCACCTTCTTACAACAGATTTGCCGAAAATTTTAGCTTCACTGATGAGGGTCAAACTGTACCCCACTGCAACTATTTTACTGGGGCCAGCCCTCCAAAGTGTTCGGAGTATGCCGAATCGGGATACGACGAGCAATCGGTGATCACCATATGAGGCCTGCTCGTAATGCGACTTTCTCAAGCAGGTTGGTGGATGGTATGGTGCCATGCAGGACGCTCTGCAGTTTGCGCGATGGCTTTTCCATGTATGGCACCGAACATATTTGATGGAGCATTTGGTCAAGTCGTGTCGCTGACAAACGAGTGGAAAGTGTCACGTTAGGAAGCAGCCGTTAGGAAGCAGCCCCTTGAAATACAGCCTTCCACAGACGCAAATTTTGCACGCGGAATCATAGATATGAGCCAAGACACAGTTACTGTGTGCTCAACAGACTAATGACTCTCTCCGAAGAGTCGCCTGTCAGGCGCGCGACGCAGTAATCAAGGACTCTTTTCAAAGAGAAGAGAGTCGTTGGTTACAAAGTGTGGTGCAGTATTTGACCCACATTTCTAGGTAGGAGGCTGCACCATGTAAGAGCTGCAGAAGGCGGAAATGTGCTGATGGTCTGCATAACTAATCCTAAGACTAGCAAGTCTGCCGCCTATTTCTATGTGGAATAGTAAAGCAATACCACGGGACTCATCTGGGGAAGCTCCTAATGGCCAACAGATTGCCAAGGTGGGAATGGCTCGAAAATACTGACCGAACAGTCTCGAAGGAGCTCCAAACCTTCCCCCCGGTGGTGCGCTGAAGGGACAGTGTAGATGGATGCGGCTGGCATAGGAAACAATGGAATCACGCCTTGAGCGCAAGCAACGGAAGTGCGAAAACCATGCGAACTCAAGCGGAACTACCGACCTTGTTTTTTTGGAAGTCCTTTTACTTAACATCAGAAGAGACTCGTGAGTTGCACAGTCCCGTGATGCAGCGTGGGCCATCATCTTCAACCACAGGGGAGAATCACACTGCCTTTTTCGCGTTTTTGGAAAGGATATTTTACGCGGGAGAGTTCTTAAAAGTGCACTGGAAGCTTTCACTCTTTGCCAAATGCGCACTTGTTCGAAGACTGAATGCATTAGCTTCTTAGCTTTTTGTTTATTGAGTAATAGAAGTGAAAATCAAGAGCCCATGGCGATCTTGAGCTGACGTGATTGTGATACAAACTGCAAGAGCTATGCTTAAAAAGAGCGAGGGCCTTACACTGAAAGGTTCTTCACACAGCGGCAGGAAGCGCACCTCTGACTAAGGGGTTCAGCTTACTGCGGATGAACCCTGAAGGTAATGTTAACCGAAGCGCTCGCTGCTGTCAGTTTACTTTACCCACATGATCCAAGTGCATATTTCTGCCTTTCTGAATCCCGTTCTCTGATGACTAGCATATTATGCCATTGCAGCATCGAGCTCACTAGCATGGGCTTCCGACTTCATACGCCTTTTTCTACCGCCGCGGTTGCTAATAGATTATATCGTTTGCAACACTACTGAACTGCAGTGAACGGGTCCCGGATGCCATTTATCGCGTAGCGGGAGTTTGTTAGCACGAGTGAAACCGCATTGCATTTCACAGAATTTCGTACTACTGTCAGAGTGCCTCTTTCGACGTCCGATCACATTACTTGAATAATGAAACGCACAACCTGTAGGGAAATGAGAGTGATGGCAAACGCATATTCCGAAAAATCAAGCGTTTGTTTCTTGTTTCGCTTGAAAGTGCACATAAGAAAGGATTAGAAGAATTCGTGGTACTATATATGAAGTTAAAAATAATGTGTGCATAGAAATGCACAAACTTCACATTGCCAGGAAATTCTGAATTCATCCCAAATGTTGAAGGCTACGCACTAAGTTAAGCCTAGGCGACCTTGGCGTAAGCAAAGTGAAATGTAAATTACGTCATGATGACCGGGAATGGCCTGCATCAAACAGCAGTTCACTAAGCGCACATCCTGCGAATAATCAAAGCTGGAAATTTTCACCTGCCAAGTTATTCTCAAATGAAGGTTCAAACTGCTGCTGAGTGGCTCTTCCTGCGTAGCGTTTAGGGAACGCACTAAACAAATACAGGCTCTGTGGAGACTGTGAACATGCTCGCATAGCCTCTGCATACTTGGAATCGAATATCCGGGGAACGTACTTTCTAGGGTTGCAGTGTGGCTCCCCAATGCCCCTGATCGTTCAACTCCAAGGCAGTTTACGACGGAGTCGACTTTGCGCATTAGCAAAAAAGTTGTTTCCGGGAACTCTTGACGACTGGAAATTTACAGTCTTCAAAACTCTTGCGTCTATAGCAATATTTCTTGCCACTACCTATATGCATTAACAATGGTGCAAAAAACATCAGCACTTGTTGGTGTGTATTATCAGCACTCGAATCACGTCCCTCCATACTCGCATTTCGATAGTTTGGTAACAAGTTTGCAATGAACCTGTTTGGCTTTGTCTATACTGTGTAACTGCGTCACAGAGCAAACGATCGCAGGAAGGAAAAATGTTAAGAAACGCTGCGTTCTTGTGCTCTCGAGGTACTCTGCGCGTTGAAACTTCCCATCTTTTGCAGTGGAGCACATCAGAACGCAAGCGGAAGCTCTGTTAAAACGCCGCGCTTCTGATTTCGCGCAGTATTGTTGTATTCAAGCTAAAACAGAATACGTCGCTGGCAGTTGATAAATGCCCTGTGACCTGTTTGTTTGATTTTGTTAACCAGAAGGCGTACTCGCTTCCGATTAGTCGATGATTTTTGGTGCCTATAGCGTTTTGAGACTGAACACCTAGAACCGAATTTTTCCACCGCAGCCCATTTCGATATTTTTGGCTTTCTGGAGTGCCAATGCACCTTAGCAGCAGCGCACCTAATTCAACCGTGCAGCCGTCCTGCTTCAATGGGACCGGAAAGCCTGTGGTGAGCGGACGTGCTCTTGTGCAAATGACAACAATACCAGAGAAGCTGTGCTATTTTAGTGACCGAGCTTCTTGGGCTTTCAACCACCTGAACTTAACAGTCAATTTACGAAGGCTGCATTGGTTTTAGGCTATCGGAGACCCGTTATCAGGACGCACAAACTTTTGGAAGTCATCAACAAAAGCTGACTAATATTTGCATCCTAGACAGCTTTTCGGATCATCTAAGGGGTTACTAACAGTCGAGTTTGCGAATAACGATCGTCAATAGGTCAGACGGTTGTGCATAAAGCCCTTGAAAAGCCGATAGTAATGACCCTAAAGCCAATTTATTTGTTGTGCTACGAATGTGGTGCAAGCATGCTATGCTTAGCAGACCCAGTTCCACTAAAATGACCGAACCTGAGGTCAGCGAATATTAAATTTTGTAAGAAAAGCAGCCGCATATTTTTGGTCACTTCGTGTGACGGACATTCTGATTATTAAGTAGGCAAAAATGCACTTGCACCATGACCTCAACAGCATTAAAGGCGAAGAGTCTTGCTTCCAAAGAAAAAGTACTTCTAATAATCTATGATGCACACACATGCGTTCATCACTGCAGGTTAATCTTATCTTGGTCGAAGGGTTTCTGTTAAGTGCCCCAAAAGCGCGCTTCGACATAACGTACCTCCTAAGATATCAAATGCCCATGAAGGGCTCCTAGCTCACGAAATGCGAGGCAAAAGCCAACATTCAAAAATACGTAGTGGCTTCGCATGCATTTGCAATGCGAACAACTTGCTAGCGCATAGAAAGATGTGCCAAGCTTGAATCTTTCTCATTAGAAAGCAGGTCCAAAAGTATCTTCGCAAAAAAACGAATTCCAGCGACGAAGCAGCAAAAAAATTATATCCGTCAGGACTCTTCCGTTCGTAATGCTACGGAAAGGCTGCACTTGAGTATCCATAGCGCAAACGGCTGGATGTCCAAGATTGGCACAGGCGGTGAACACAGCAGTAAATAGCTCGCTCAGTATTCACAGGCCTCTTGATCCATGATCATAGGCAAAAGGCAAATTACTGCCGTAAATGATGTACAGCGAACACGGATGAACAGCAAAACTTCACAAACGCAACAGTCGAAATATACAACTGTGGCTCGCTCTGCTTCAAAAGCTGCTTTCGTTACTTGCAGTAAGACTTAATTTCGCTCCTGACAGCGGCATGTATTTCTTGGTTGCATTCCACAAGCATGAAAGTCACATAGAACAAGAAGATGAAGTTTACTTTGGCCATTGGCTTCTACCATCTGAGAGGCTCCTCAACTAGTTGGATTTCCCAGTAGTTATGAGGGACCTGGAAGTGACAACAAACTACAGTGTAGTTCATTAAGGCAGCGAAAGTGTACTGCATAACTAAAGCTAAAGGCCGGCTACGGCCACACCAGCACCTAGTAGCCCTAGTAAAACGGAGTATGGGACTTACGGCCGGAGGCTTTGGTCGAAGTGCTAGTAACTACAATGAGAGGAAAATATTGTCCAAAGAGTCGGATACCAGAGTTTTGATGTGCCTATGCAGTAAAAAAAAGGCAAAAATATGTACGTGTAGCACCGTTTTTAGGCAATATTGTAGTTCAGCCTGAGGATGCCCTTGGGATGTGAGAT